AGAAAAGGAAAATAGATGACTACTATACCCAGTCAATGTCAGCTGTATATACACTGTAATGGAGACAACGACAAAAACATAACATTTAGAAGGGCAAGAGGTCACTTCTGGCTTTGGAGTGAAGGAAATTTCATCAAGAAAAGGTGACTGAAGCTAGGGTCACAGTGTTGGAGATGAGGGAGAAATACTGTTGATCCTTGAAACATAGATGTTAGGGGCACCAACCCCTCATGAAGTTGAAAATCCATGCTACTAATTTACTAATATCCTACTGTTACCTGGAAGCCTTATCAATAACACAAACAGCCAATTAACACAAATTTTATGTTATGCGCTATATATTGTATTCTTACAACAATGTGAAAGTAGAGAAAGAAATTTTTTTTTCAAATTGTTGGAGATCTTCAGAAAGTTTTCCAGTTTATTTATTGAAAAAAACCCTGCATATATAAGTGGATCTGTGCAGTTCAAATCTGTGTTGTTCAAAGGTCAACTGCACTTAGAATCATTGTGTGGTTGATTTATTTTTTATTTGTTGGAACAATGCTTACCACAACTTATGTTGTACTTTCATTACATTCCGAGAAATGTGCCCAATAAGCACAAGTTGCTCGTATCTCAAAGCAGGTTTCCCATAGAATTCTAACATTCTAGTTCAATATTTTCAAACACATTGATTATGCCGACAGAAATAGAAATATTTTACATCATGACCCAGTATACACAACCTTGTATATTCAACCAAAGCAAAATGTAGACAAAACCATAGCTATTTATGTTCATTATATTTATTTTTCCATTTTTGAGGTAGAACTCCTACAGTGAAACACACAAATCTTCAGTGTGTGATGTGATGAATTTGTACATGGGGTGTATAACAACCCTCATGTTACTGCAGCCTCAATCAAGACAGAGTATTTCTAGGCCCAAGAAGGCTCCCTCATGTCCCATTACATAAAACACTCCCTGAAGAGGCAATTGCTATCTGGAACTTTAAGTTAAACATTGAGCAGTTTTGCCTGTTTTCAAATTTTGTGTGAATGGAGTATCTGCTTCTTTTAAATAGCATTGTGTCAAGGCTGCCTACTCATTTGTTTTTTGAAATTTTATAAAAACAATTTTTTTTTATTGAGAAATAATTCATACACTATGTAATTCACCATTTTAAAGTATATAATTCAGCGATTTCTGTAGGAGGCCTGTGTTTCTTGGGGCATGGGACTTCTTGCTTGTGCAGAGACCCAAGTTCAGCCAGAGGTGGGAGCTTAGGGCCTTCTCAGGTCTTTCCTGATCATGTGCCCAGCCCTAGTCCTCTGTATGATGTGGCCTTCTAGATTCCTAGGAATGTACCAGAACTTTCCAAAGCTTCCAATGGACAGTACTTCTCAGATTTGCCTTTTAAGCTTTCCTGTTAGCCTATTGCTTGCCCTGGTTGTTATCTACTGTATCAGGCATCTTTGATTTTCAACAAGTGCCTAAAAAAAGGCTGTTTTCAGCAGCCAAGCTCCAATCAGGTAACAAAAAGCCAGCCTTGTGGGTAGATTTTTCCCAGAACCACCAAACAAGTCAAATAATGATTTTTTGAGAATGTGGTTTGAAAGAGCTCTACCCTCCTTCACCCTCCCCCAGCCTCCCACCACCAGTAGTGGCCAGTCTTCTGGATTCACTGTGATTGTGGCTGTTGGTTTACAGGTCTACAGGAATGGGGCAGAGGGTTAGGAATCAGGCAAGGTAAAATGTTACATGACTGGCATTTATGGAGATTCAGCCAACTCCTCACTTTGGAAAAAGCTTTTGTTTAATTTCCAGAGTTCTGCAAAAGTTAATTCTGACAATTTTGCTATGTTTTTATTGCTTTTATGGAGGAAATAATTTTCAGACATTCTTACTGTACTATATTCCCTGACATCACCTCTACACTTACTATTGAATTGTTTCTTGGCCTACCCATGGGTTGCATTCATAGATTGAAAAATCAGCATTCTAGTTACCTAAGGGCATTTATGTAGTTTTAGTACCAAGAAGCATACAATTTTGTAGAGTACAAAAACGAATGTAATAGCTATAGACAAAACTGGAAAGAATGTACTGGCATACTGTGAGAAAGTCAATTTCTGTTGTTTGAACTCTCCAGTCTGTGGTATTTGTTTTTTGCAGCCCTAACAGACAGACATAGCTACTGTGTATATATACTTAATTTGTCTGTGTCTCTCTTTCATTTATTTTACCCATTTAATCAAAATAACATTGTCTTCAATGAAGTATTATATATGAGATGTATAAAACCCTAAACACCCTCCAAAAAGAACTATTTTGGAATATATTTTAGAGATAATTATTATAGTTTTTAAAGGACTTTTTCACCTATGTACTGATACTTGTAGATTGAGAATTTCTCAGATTGTGAGTAAAATATTAAGAGTACAAGGTCAGCTGAGATAAACTTGTCCTTCCAGCTCCTCTTTTCCCTGTCCTATGAGACACAGAGTCCACCCTGTTTTTCTTTTAGGTTAGGTTACAAGTTTGACTCTGGAAGCAGACTATTGTGGCGGTGTGATCCCAATTTCTGTGCTTGATCAGTACTTTCAGGTTGCTGAACCTTGGGGCCTCCAATTCTAGGCTGAATTGGATGTACTAAAAGGGGATCATTTCTCTGGTTTGATCTGTTCAGGTGGTTTTAACCCTATTTAAGTAGTGAGGCTGCTCATTTGGGTCCAAACCAAGTGCTCTGTTGTAGAGAGAAGACCAGATATGTGGAAGGTTTAGCCCATTTTTACTATGACCTGCTAGCTGTCAGGTTTTTCCAACTGAGTTCAGTATGAACACTCAATAGCTTCAAGGCTTTAAGGTCTATAAATCTCACCCACAAGATAAAGAACTGAGTCTTTGCACCATCTTCACACCAGGCAAATATCATTTATGTGGAAATTATTTTAAGCCACAGTACTTCAAAGAGGGAAAGTATTAAAAAATATTTTCATTCTTTAGAAATGTTTCTTCAGTTGTTTGTTTAGGATATTTTGATGGGAAAGACAAATTGTTTTCCTGTTGCATAAAACTGATTTTTTATCCCCTTCATGTCATCTTGATTTATGGGATTTTTTTTTCTTCCTTAATAGCTCAGACAAGTTATGTGCAGTGGTTATAAAAAGTTGGCAGTCTTTAAAGGGCATCATTTCCACATGTGTCCAGATACCTTGGAGATAAACTACACCAAGAAATTGGAAATAAGCATGTCAGCAAACTATTAAGCTTTTATTAAACACTCTAAAACTTTTATGCATTTATTTATAATATTTGTATTGAGCATGTGTGAGCTGCTGGTCTAGGAACTTGGATTTACTGTTGTGGTTGGCTATGACTCTATATACCAAAAGAGATAAATGACTTGGTTTGAAATATTGCCTATATAAATAAATTTTGATTAAAAAACACTCTAAGAGGTAATATGAATAAATCAGTAATAAATAAATTCCTTTATAATACAACATCTGGGACTTAGGGATGTTATTTTTTTATTACCATGGCAACAATTATAAGTAAATAGATGGAATGGTATTTCAAATGGTTTCATCCAGATATTGAAAGAAAAAGTAGCATAATGGTTTTAATGAGTCACTAAGACTTGAAAAAATAGAAAGGCATATGGATACTCTTGTCATATGCAGGAGAGATTCTACAAAACAGCTCACATTATTTTGCTTATTTGTGTTTTGATTTCACTTTTATCATTGTAACCCAGAGGACTACATTCCCTTCCTAACCCTTTGGGTAACAAGAAATTCTTGATAGCTGTTTCTATCACATGTAAACTATCTTAGGAGGGGAAGTAAGGTGCTGCCATGCTTTGAAGCTTCAAAGTGGTTAAACGTCAAATTCTAAAGATTCGTAGGTGAATCTGATTCATGCTGATAAGCAGTGAACTGAGTGGTGCCTTTTACCCCTCTGGATGGGGAATAGTTTGACAGAGTTTTAGCAGCTGTGAGGAAGGATCCTGTCAAATATATGGATTTATTCTGAATCTGTTTTGACCAGTTATGCCTACTTGGAAATAATAGGACAAGTAAAAATCCAAACTTGAAAAAGAAAAAAAAATAGAAAATAGGTATTTTAAATCCTCAAATAATATAGTATCATTTATGTAGAAATTATTTTAAGCCACAGAACTTCAAAGAGGGAAACTATTAAAAATATTTTCATTCTTTAGAAATGTTTTAAAAGTGAATTTAAAAAAGGCAACTCAATTCAGTTTGAATTCAGTTCTATAGGGTGCTGGGAAATGAGAGGATTCCAAAAAATATCAGGAAGGTTGAGGAGTTTATAAGGAAGGCTGGGGAGGCTTAAATGACATGCTAAGGAAGTTGGATCCATTTCCACGGGAAGCCAACTCCTTTGGTGGAAATTTTAGTAGAAAAGAGGCTGCAAAAGAGTTATTTTGGGAAATTATCCAGAAATGGTAAGCAAGGTGAACAAAGATCATGGAAGCATAAAGACTAGTTGGGAGGCTATTGCGTACATGAGATTCTGAGGATGGAATTGTATTTCAAGTGGTTTCATCCAGATACTGGGGGGAAAAAAGTAGAATAATGGTTTTAATGAATCATTAAGATTTGGAAAAAAATATGGATACTCTGTTATATGTGGGAGAGATTCTTTAAAACATTCTGAATGTTTTCGAATCTGAAGGTTCCTCTAAAAAGAGAGATTCTTGTTTATTTGTGTTTTGATTTCATTTTTTTGATCATTGTGACTCTCACAAGATTCAAATTAGGGGCTGTAGGAATGGAGAAACAACACAAAAGATGCATCAGAGTGTTATTAGAAGTATGTCATTTTGTTAAAGTCTATTATTAATAATACAGAGCCCTGATAATACTCAAACTTTATTCAGGTTCTTGAAAGCTTTCAATGGCCAAATATCTACATAATAGTTTTCTTTGTTCTATTTCTCAGATAAGAGTTGTAAGTTTGAATTGAGCAGGGTTTTAATTTACAAACAGAACAAACTGACCATGACTGCAAGGCAGAAGAGAAATTTACTGACAGAAGATTGGGTACCCAGAGAACTACCAGGTGGTTCTAGACCCAGGTGAGTGATCTGCTAAGAGGTAAGAAGATGTTGAAAGTACAGCTAAGGGACAGTCTTCCTTTTTCTAGGATCGCTTCCTTCTCAGTCTCACACTCTCCCATTGACAAGCTCATGTACTCTCTTGACTTAAATTATTAACTCTAGGAGCAGGGTTGAAAAATTGGTCAGGCTAAAGGAAATAGTTTTAAAATTTATAGTTCCAGATTTGATGGGCCTTGCTCACAAGGCTTACGTAAACTACTATGCTCCAGCTGGCCTGGGGCATCCCTGTGGCCAGCAGCTTTCATGGCGTAGGAGGCACTTCCTTCATTTCCTTTGTCATAAAGACTATTGCTACTCTATTTTTTCCAGCGTTATGGAAGTATAGCCAATAAAAATACTATATGTATGTAAGGTCTACAATGTGATGTTTTGACATACATATACATTGTAAAATAACACCAAATCAAGTTTATTAACATATCCATCACCTTACATGGTTACCATTGTGTGTGTGTGTGTGTATGTGTGTGTGTGTGTGTGTGGTAGAAACATATGATATACTCTTTTAGCAAATTTCAAGTATACAATACAGTCTTATTAACTATAGTTTCCATCCTGCACATTAGATCTCCAGAACTTATTCATTCTGCATAACTGAAACTTTGCCTCCAGCCTCTAGCAACCATCCTACTCTCTGCTTCTGTATGTTAGAATTTTTTTGATTCCACGTGTGAGACCGTTCAATATTTGTCTCACTGTGCTTACTTTATTTACTTAACATAATGTCCTTGAGGTTTATCCATGTTGTCATAAATGATAGGATTTTCTTTTTTAAAAGATGAATAAAAAATATGTGTATATATATATATGTGTGTGTGTGTGTGTGTGTGTGTGTGTATCTCTGTGCATATAAATACATACATATATAAACACACACATTTTCTTTATCCATTCATCCAAAGATGGACATTTAGATTAGCTCCATATCTTGGCAACTGAATAATGTTGCAGTGAGCATGGGAGTGAGGTGTTTCTTTGAGGTACTGATTTCATTTTCTTTGGATATATACCTAGAAGTGGGATTTCTGAAACATAAGTTAGTTCTATCTTTGTTATTTTTTTTGTGAAGAATCTCCATATTAGCTGTTTTCCATAATAGCTGTTTACCAATTTACCCCCCACCACCAGTGCACAAGGGTTCCTTTTCTCCATATGCTTGCCAACACTTGTTATCTCCTATCTTTTTGATAACAGCCAATCTAACAGGTGTAAGGTGATATCTCATTGTGGTTTTGATTAACATTTCCCTTATGATTGGTGACATTAAACACTATTCCATGTACCTGGTGGCTATTTGTAATGTCTTCTTTTGAGAAATGTCTGTTCAAGTACTTTGCCTATTTTTAAGTCAGGTTATTTTGCTATTGAGTTATTTGATTTTCTTATATATCTTGGATATTAATTCTTTATCAAATATATGGTCTGCAAATATTTTCTCCCATTCTGTAGGTTTTATCTTTACTCTGTTGATTGTTTCCTTTGTGGTGCAGAAGATTTTTCATTTGATGCAATCCCATTTCTCTATTTATGCTTTTGTTGCTTCTGCTTTTGGGGTCATATCCAAAAAATCATTGCTCACACCAATGTCAAGAAGCTTTACCCCTATTTTTTCTAATAGTTTTACAGTGACAGATCTTACATTTAAGTCTTTAATCCATTTTGAGTTGATTTTTATATATGGTGTGTGATAAGCATACAATTGCTTTCCTCCACATGTGTCTATTCAGTTTTCCCAATACCATTTATTGAAGAAGCTGTCCTTTCTCCATTGTGTGTTCTTGACATCTTTTTGAAGAACAATTGACCATAAATGTATGATTTATTTCTGGCTATCTGTTCTGTTCCATTTGTGTACATGCCTTGTTTAATGGCAGTACCATACTATTTGATTACTATAGTTTTGTAGTATATATTATGATCAGATAGAGTAATGCCTCTAGCTTTGTTTTTCTTGCCCAAGACTGCCATGACTATTTGGGGTCTCTTGTGATTCCATGTGATTTTTAGGATTGTTTTTCTGTGTCTGTGAAAAATACCATTGCAATTTTGATAGGGATTGCATTTATTCTCTAGATTGCTTTGGACAGTATGAACATTTTAACAATATTAATTCTTCCAATCAATGAACATGGGATATCTTTCCATTTATTTGTGTCTTCTTCATTACCTTTCATCAGTGTGTTATAATATTCAGTATACAGATCTTTCATCTTCTTGGTTAAATTTATTCCTAAATATTTAAAATGTTTCTCATGCTATTGTAAATGGGATTGTTTTCTTATTTGTTTTTGAAGTGACCACTGTTAGTCCATGTAATAATTCCCAATCTACATTTCTAATGGCTAATACCTCTCACCTTAGTTCTGGACACATGTATCCAATAATCTAATGGAAATCTTTACTTAAATAATCTATAGTCATTTCCATATTATTGTGTCTAAAACTAGGATTTATTACCTAACCACATTTCTCCAGTAACAAACACATGTGTGTATGCAAACACACACACACTCACACACACACACACACACATACACACACACATCTCACATTCTTCTTCCTTGTCCTATGGATCCTATTTTAGTGAATAGCACCTTTGTACACACAATTTTTCAACACTGGAGTATGGACAACATTCTTAACTGCTACTCTACCCCATTCCACCATCCATACTCAACCACCAAGCCCAAGGTTTCTTCTTTCTAAAGATCTTTTCTTATTCACAGCATCACTGCACATGCCTAGATAATTGGAATTTCCCCTTATATGGGCATTCTGTCTTCTATTTCTCCTTTCTGCAATCACTTTTCTGAACTGCAGATCTGATCTTCTCTCTCTTCTACTTTAAATCATTCATTTTCATCTACTTAAAAATAAATTTAAACTTTTTATGTGGATTAGGAAGACTTCTCTTCTGGCTGTTGTATCTCTGTGCATTATCTCTCATTTATATTCCCTTCATACTCCATGTCCTAGCCTCTTTGAGCTGGTGCCATCTCTTTTGTTTCAAACCTTCTTTACAGTGGTCTTTTTTTCCTAAATACTCTTCCTACTCCCATTGCCTGGTTATTTCTTACTTATTCTTCATTCTTCATACAATTTCTTCATTTTTCATTATTCATTGTAAATTTGACTTTTTTAAGCTATGTTCTCCTGAACACGCCCTCACTTTCTCATCAAAATTCAAGCTAGATGGCCGTCTAGGTACTCTCATAGTTTGCTGTACCCTGCCATTAGATACCCTGGAGTATTCTAGCCTGTTGACTTGTGTCTAAACTATAGTCTCTGTAGATCTAATCTATAAAAAGAGATTACAATATCTACTTCTCATGGGCTTACAATGATTAAATGCTTGGTGCAGAACCTGGAATGTAGCAGCTGCTTAATAAATGGTAGCTATTATTACTATCATCACTACTACTGTGATTGCTATTCTGTTCAGTTGGACATGGAGATTGCCCTGTTCCAGGAAATAGTGCAAGAGGGTTTGGAAACAGAAGGTAGAGAATGAGAAATAAAGAAATTAACTGAAATAAATGGAAGGGCTGGATATGGCTTCTTAACTTGCTTCTTTGACATATTTCATTACCAGTTACTATAATTCAGCACAGCAAAAACCTTATCTCCACTGGGATGCATCATTCTGAGATGTGGGCTTTCCATCCCAGCTTGATATAGTTGCCTCACTCTGTGTCAATGCCTGTCCCCACCCCATTTGAAAACAAGTCACTTCACATTCTCTAGTTTTCTAACACTGTCAGAGGGAATGATGGATATAGGATTAAAACAATCCACACACAATCACAAAGAGCAAGGGTGAGGATAACACTGTAGCAAGTAATTAGAAACAATCTTGCTCCTTTGGAAACCATCTCCTGCCTCCGGACACCCTGGCCTCTCTATCTTGGCACTGTTGGTTTGCTGGCTGCTCTTTCTGCCAGCTCACTTTGGCTGACATTGGCATACAGCGCATCTGGCAGTCTTTGTCCCCATTACTGAGCTTCTCTTCAGAGCTGCCAGGCTTTAGTTGCAGGCTGCAGGGGGGCACTTTGAAGCCCTTCCAAGCATTTGGGCTTATGGTTGGGAAGTTGGCTTGTTACGATGTGCACTTAAACCATCTTCTTTTTCTGACCTGATTTATCCTAGTTGATTTATAATTTTATTTCAGAATAGGGGTATAAAGAATTGAAAACATTTTTTGACATGCTGAAAGGGATCCTAAGTCTCATTTGTTCCTATGTCACACATTCATATATATCCACGAAAGGGCTAAGGTGAATATATTTACATTTGATATAATTTTAGCTAGAGATGTCTTCCTGAAACAGTTAGGCAGAGATGATTAAAACCAAACAGCAAATATCCTGTTGTACATGAAGTTTCCTATTTGCAAGCTGGTTTACAAATGTTGTTTTTCACAGGATCTTAGTCAGTTGTTTGGGAAATAAACTGGCAACTACTCACTATAAATAACACAATCTGCCTGATTCTACACTGCTGGCTTTGGCCCAAATATAAATCCTTTGGACTGACAAGGGGAAAAAACTCTCTCATGGTGTTGCTCTCAGTATCTTAGATAGAAAATTAAACTGGTAATCACTATAGCATCCTTCTATACTATCTAGTATAGCTAACTCTTTTCTTTTTGTCCATTTTCTCTATAGTCTAGGAATCCAGTGCTGTGTGATTCTCCACAAGCAGCGATGCTTAGAGGACAACTGGATGCCAACGTTGCCAGGCTGTCTCCCTGCCACACCCAACCACCTACCTGATAGACCTTACTTATTAGAATTCCTTCCTCCACTCCTGAATACAAGCCCCTTTTCCTTCCTGAGGAATGAGTCTGGGCTGTGTGTGTTTGTCAACCTATTCATCAGTGAAATGTCTCTAAATTGGTCTTTTTTTTTTTAACAAATATTTTCTGGTCAGTTCTGAAAATACTTTAGATGGGCTTTTCTATGAACTTGCTTTATACAGGTTCTTCTATGAACCAAAGCAATTTCCAGATATCCAATTCCCTCATGAATCTTTGATTGAATCTGGGGTAAATTTCCAGTCTTATTCCTTTCACACTTACAGTCTTTAGATTAGGGCTCATTTTCACAGCATGGGGGATAATCTGTATATAGATGAGTCACTTTGGAAAGGAGTTATATGTTGTCATTTCAACTATACCAATATGAGAGGACACTATCAGCAAAGGACTTATCCATGACATTCTCCCCTCTGTTACCACAGCACCATGCATATTTCTTTATTGTAGTATTTTGCATAATTTTGCTTTGTAATTTTTGGTATAAATAGAATTGTAAACTCCTTGAAAGTAGTGATTTATTTCCATAATGTGTGGCACATAGTTGATACATAATGAATTCTTGTTAAAGGAATAGATGAAAATCAAAACAGCATAGAAGTACAAAATCAGATCCATATGATTAAAACTACAAGTCCTCCCAAATAAAAAAAACAAAGTAAAACCATCCCTAGTTCTCTTGTATACTTGATTGTGCAAATATTATAGAGCCTTTTTGTTTTAAGAATGACTATAATTTCATTTCCTGTTTTCAAAAGACTTTATCCTGACTTTCAAGAAGCAGCCCTAAGCTTCTCAGCACACTGTGATGATTCGCCTTTGTTTAATCCTCTGGCATCTTCTTGGAGACCCCTCCTCTGAGGAACAATGGCTATTAGTCCTAGTCTGGAGCGATGATGAAAAATCTGACTGACACATAAAATAACTGATAGGATGACTACCTCTAAGTTTGGTTGTTGATAGAGGGTAAAAAAGGCTTGAATTTTTAAGAAGTGGACTTAATTGTATTCTTTTACAAGATTTAGCAGCTGACAAATGGCATCATTACAGAACAGTGTTGCATTTACTGCCTTTCACCCTTCAGAGTTGGCTGAGAGCCCTCTGTAGAAAATGGGCTGCAGACAAAAAATGCACAGATGAGTTTAATCATAAGAACTGCATCTGGCCCAGGCAGAAATCTCTTTAACAGTTAATTGGCATATAGCTGGGGCTGGAGCAGCAGATGTTACTTTGTAGTTTGAGGAATCTGCTCTAAAATCTACTGAAAACATGAACGCCTCTACAATGGTTGGGCTTTTAGTACCTGGCCAAGTCAAACAAATTCTGAAAGCTCTGGTCCTCTTTTAGGTCAGCCCACACATCTCTAACAACACAGGGCTTGTGCAAATGTGCTGCTCTTGGCCTTCATGGTTTTCAAACAAAATGAAATGGACAAAGCATACTTCTACGTAAATGTGGGTAGGGCAGGGAAATGTGGTTGGATTGTGTCATCATCATCATCTCTGAATAAATAGAAATTGTGTTCAGACAAAAATAATACTAACATTTCCTATACCACTTTGATTTTCTCCTCTCATTCAGAAAATGAACTAAAAAGTGGCATTCAATTCCCCAGAAAGTTTTCCTTTGCTTGTGGAACACTATGTAGAATCTCAAGGTGCTAACCTATCAGTGGGAGTGCTGTAAAATCAGTATGAAGGTAAACAATCACAGAAGGCCTCCACACAGTCCTGTCTGCTAATGTGACTGGTGAACCTTCACAAGCCTACACCTAGGGGTGCTAGAGGTAGTTTATCCAGAAAACAGGTTTTTGGCTCTAAAATATCCCATCTCCATTCCTAAAGTGATACCACTAGGACTCTTCCCTAAATTCATTATGCTTTATGTTGGCAAACAAGACTGAACTACCTGAAAAATAAATAAGTAAATCTTAATAGACATTGTAAGCACACTGAATTCTCTCATCCAACTCTTCAACATTCTCTTTTTTACTTAAGTCCTCTATTTAAAACTTCTGCTTAAAATTTTTCCAGAGTATTTCCAGATATTATTTATTTTCCCAGGATTCCTCAGAATTGTTATTACCATTATTTTATAAAAATATTTTATAAGGACCAAATATTTTAAGTGATTATCTCAAGACCACACAGAAAATTAGAAGTAGAACCAGAATTATAACTACAGATCTCCAATAATGGGTTTTTATAACTTCTTCTTCCTCATTTCCCTCAACAAAGTAATTTTCTTATATTATATGAAATATTATGAATATTACATGTTTCATTATATGTATTACATACATTTATAACTTTGAGATGACAAATTTGAATTTGGCAAAGATGCATAACTTGAAGATTTTTAGGATATATGTTACCTGTTCTTGGTTTCATTCATTTTCTTATTCCCCTTCTCTTGCCTTCTCCCTCCCCGCAGAGTATCTACTCTTTGTCTATAAACTGTTATGCACTGGTCAGGTCTTCTGATCAACTGACAATATTGTTTTGCTTCTAGGGAAAGATAAGGAATTTTTGCAACAAACATGGAGGATCAGTGACTTATGAGAGGAGCAGCAAAGATACCACTAAATTCAACAGATTCTTTCTCTTGGAGTTATCAGTCTTCATTGTAGAATAAACTAAGGCAGATGGCTAAAAGTCATGCTGAAATAATAATTGGTAAATGGTAATAGTGTCTTGTACTGTGCTACTCTGACTCCCAAAAGGACAAGGTGGCAGAAGTTACAGTGGAGTCAAAAGGTCCTGGGAGCAGTCCTGGGATGGGGATGAGGAAGGGCACAGGAGCTGTTTAGGATTCAGAGCTCCAGAAAGAGTATCAACTATCCAACTCTTACTCAAATAGGTCTCTTAACTATATCTACTTTTGGTGATGAGAAAGACGCAATCTGACTACCCTTTGTGTCTCTTCGTAACTTTTCCATGCTTCCATACTGGCACTGGACCGTGCTTCCTGAGAATGATTCGGTCATCTCTTTGGTTCCTGATCTCCTCCATTCTATTTCTCTCACTAATCAACTCTTCTATTGGAAGTGCAAAGGTAGAAAATGCCCCCAACCACCTGGAAAATAGATTGCCTTCCATTTTGGTCCAGCTCTAAATGGATAGGAGAACGAACTGTAACTCTCTGTATCTCCCTTATACTTAATGCTTGTTTACTTGTCAACATCTACTAGTATAATGTAAATTCTATGGAGACAGAGGTAGTATCTCTCTTGCTTTTTGTTTTATTCCCAGTACATAGCTCATTGCCTATCAGAGAGAATGAAAGAATAAATGAGTAAATGAACACCCAAGGAAAAAAACAAATGGAATGTTCAATGAGAGAATCTATAAGGATCTGGGTCATTCAATCAAAACTATTACCTTTCTACTAGGATAAACACTTTTCTTTTCTGGGGATCACAGTTTTGTGATCAAGCACTGGCTTTCATTATGTACATGTGGCGATTTCTTCCACCCAAAGGCCAATCTCTCATAAAAAGCAGTCTGTCAGCTTGCTGATGGCTTTTGATCAATTCCAGCTATGCCACTGGACTTCTTATTTTGGTAAAATATGCCTTTCCTAAATCAATGTGACAAGCCCGCAGTGAGTGTTTGCTGCTAACAAATGATCAGACTCCAAGACAGAGAGGGACTGTGCAGAGGGAAGGAGAACATTTGCATCCCAGAACCAAGGCCAATGGACTGTAACCACACAATCATGTAATCTGCTGAGCAGGACAGAGGTCACCTCCAGAGAGGAAATTTTCTCTCCTACAGGACAGATGAGTTGTTAAAGTGTGTAAGAATATGACTGCAGCAGGAAAACCACCATGGAAAATGAATAATGGTCTGGAATACTTGATCACCAAGAATCAAATTTAGCTGACCTGAATATTCATTTTATTTTATTTGTACACTTTATCTTGCTCCTTTAGAAAAGATTTAAGGGGAGTTTGCCAGAAAACATTTATGTCATAAGTTAAAAATCAGACCTGTTACTATAGGAAGACTAAGGTAAGGACCATTTGAAATATATTTAATTATTCAAATGTTTTGCATTTATGTTTCATTTGGACATACTTTATGGTTTAGGAATTCACAATGTTTCAGAGTGAAATCAGGCTGTGAAGCCCTAACGCTGCCTTCTGTTAGAGCTCTCCCTAACTCCCATACATTTTTTGATCCTTCATACTTAAATAAAGTAAGAACACAAGAGTGACTGTTTCAATATCACAGTGAATTAGAAGGTAATTAGGATTTGGCTTTAAAAATATACGCTTCAAAAAAGAAATGAGAAGGAAAAAAGAATGAATTACTTGTATTTACTAAGCTAATACTGAAAAATATTTTTAAATAATAGTTTATTTTATTGAACCAGTGTTGTGAAGTGTTTATTCTAATTTGAATCAATCTATATTTCATTATTCAACCCATTCATATAGATGAAATATTTAGTTTGTGCTACATATCAGATTTTGTATATGCTGTAAGATTTTTATGGATGTCACATGACTTTAATTTCTTAAGTTAAAAAAATAAACTGTAATGAAAAAATGTAAGCACACAAATGTAGAGAGAAAAATAAACTAAATTCTTATAAAACCATCAGTCAACAGTTTTCATGATTTTGCCCCACTTGCTTTATCTATCTCCCTCCATTTTTTTCCTAAGTATTTTAAAACAAGTCCTTTATATCATGTCCTTTTACCACTGTATACTTTAATACATGCTTACTAATATGGAAAGTTTCTTATGTAACTTCAATGCTATTATCATATCTAATAAAATTAATGATAAATCCTTGGTGTCATCTAATAGTCTATATTAAAATTCCTCTATGTAATTACTCTTCAATATTATTTGAATTTAAAACTTTTGGGAAAAAGTAACTTAAAATAAAAACAAGAATGTTTTTACCAACACAAAAATCACTGAACTTACATTTTAAAAAATTCTTACTCATTTGAAAACACTGTGAAATTTGTTTTATAAGCATTATCTAATATGCATTTGAGTCAGTATTGAAAACTAGGTGTCTTGTGTAATAGTGTAAATATTTGGCTAATTAAATGCCAATTATCAATATCCAGACTAGTTTTCCCTTTTTCTCATCTTTACCTCACATAAAGTCATGTTTGTTTTCTAATCCACCAGTACCACTGTGGTGTTCTAACTTTCGTCGGGGGAGGAACCTGAAACCACCTTCTATCCCTGTCTTCCTGCTTGTTCCATGTTTGGCACAATGTTACTATGGGAATAATGTAGCATTTCAGTAAGCTGTGGTTTTGTTACCATAAGAAATACTAAGACTAGGCAAAGAAACACTGAAGTAACTTGCCTGGATTTTCTGATGTCCTTTCCAGTACCTCTAAGCTTAAATACAGGCTTTTAGCCATGCCTCCTGGCATCAGAGAACCTCTGCCAATATTAACAGTTTTTCTTCAAATAAATAGAAAGCTTCATCAGTAGTAACATCAACAAGCGTTTATTGTGCAAAGTGTATTATAAAGTACAGTTTCTGCTTTCAAGAAGATTAGAACCCTATGGAAGTTTTCATTACTGCTTCATTGAGATTCATATAATTATGGAGAATCCCACTCTTCCACGTGGCTGAAAACTACTAGGACAGGGTAACTTCCATTTTCAACTCTTCATTTCTG